TACATTATTAAATGATTATCGAATAAAAACAAATTCACTCCTTCAAGTGGACTTTATTAATAGACCAAAGGGAATAAAAAGGGCGAGGCAGTGGCGCAGTAGTGCTGTTGCCTCACAGCAAGAAGGTCGCTGGGTCGCTGGTTCGAACCTCGGCTCAGTTGTCGTTTCTGTGTGGAGTTTGCATGTTCTCCCTGCCTTCGCGTGGGTTTCCTCCAGGTGCTTCAGTTTCCCCCACAATCCAAAGACATGCAGTACAGGTGAATTGGGTAGGCTAAATTGTCCGTAGTGTATGAGTGTGTGTGTGAATGTGTGTGTGTGGATGTTTCCCAGAGATGGGTTACGGCTGGAAGGGCATCTGCTGCGTAAAAACTTGCTGGATAAATTAGCGGTTTATTCCGCTGTGGTGACTCCGGATTAATAAAGGGACTAAGCCTACAAGAAAATGAATGAATGAATGAATGAATGAGGGAATAAAGAAAAGTATGGAGGTAGTTTAAACTTAGTAAATAGTGAATAGTAGTTACTGTATTCAGCTAGCCTTCAACTTGCCTGTTTTAAAAAAGGCCTCCATAAAACAAATCAAAACAAGGACTTACTGAAATAATACATATAATGCAAACATTCCATAATTGACTATATTTTGATATTGATATGATATTGATTCCATTAATATTGCACTTTATTAAAGCATTTGTAGTAGCTTTGTAAATGTTTAAAAATGCTTTGGGCTAAATTTTGTTGCGTTTACACAGTCTTGACCAGCAGGGTTCACTAGAGTGTGGTGTTTTGAGCTTCTAAACCAGGGGCGTCAAAAGTCCTGGAGGGTCTAGCCCTGCACACTTTAGTTTCAACCCTGCTTCAACAATCTTACCTGTAGGTTTCAAACAAGCCTGAAGGACTCAATTAGTTTGATCAGGTGTGTTTAATTGGGGTTGGAACTAAACTGTGCAGAGCTGCGGAAGTTTGGCACCTGTGTTCTAAACAGTGACATGTCTACAGTACTACACAAAGTATCAATTACTTTGATTGTACTGCAACACCGTTGCGTTGGCAGGCAAGGAAATGTATTGTTTAAACTCATAATTTACCTTATAATCTAAGAGAATAGTGGACATGCATGTTGCTGGAGTTGCTCTTTGGTGTTTCAGCTGTGTTATATTACACTGAACTGAGCCGAATCCAACTGTGAAAACTGAACAGATGCAGTTTACTTTACTAGAACTTCATCTATGTTAAGATGTTTCAACACAATATTGTAAAAAGAACATGGGGGGAGAGGATGTTTGCAATTTAAATTCAGCATTATTTTCTTAATTTTTTTTGTTGTGAATATAGTTTTTTTTATCTCTTCTATGTTAATTCATCCACAATGTTGAAAATGTATTTTTCTTACTCTTGAAATACATTTTTGACATATTTTCATTTTCAAAAATATACAAGTTTTAGCTAGCATGGTGTTCAGCCTGCCAAAACTGATGACCAGCTAAAAACAACTAAAGCCTCAGCAGGATCTGTTAAACTTGTATCTGCATGTGCAACAATGTTCCAGATGAGCTACAGAGCAAATTAGAAAAGCCACATGTGTGGATAGGCTACTAATATGTTATGCAAACAATTAATATGTAAAAAAAAATTCATTGTATTTTTTTGGATTATGTGGAAGCTGCTTAAATAAAGCTATTGATGGGAGCTGTATGAAACTTGACAGTATTGCAAGTTTCAGAGATTGAACTTGTTTGAAAATTTGACAAAGATTAAAGGCACAATATGTTAGATTTTTCATTAAAATATGAATATTATAACATTTTCCTAAATGTTTTGAAGAATGTTCATTTCCACAGAAATAAGCAATTTTTACTTGTAACACCGTTTCCTGTGTCAACATGTTAATAAAATCACACATCCTTGATTTTCGATTAGCTTTCTTAAAACATGGAAACATCAAAAACTCTTTATTGTGCTACACATTTTATTAGATTGCACAGAGCAAAAATTTTACAGAAAATTTAAAATGATAAAACAGTGTTGCTTCTTGCCCATATGATCCCTACCAGAAGAACCAGAAGCAGTGGACTGTCATAATTAAAGCTTTGCTGCTTTCATGGTGCCTCGTGCTCATCCCCCATCAGCAATTGTTTCAGCAACCCTGTTTCGCTTTAATGGTTTACAACCTTATCTGCTTCATTTTAAATTCTTTAGTTCATCCATGAACATGATTTCTTCTGGAGTCCTGTAAGATGCATTGAAGACAACAACTCCCATTCCACACTCATAACATCATCAAACTATGCCTTTATTTGTTAAAATGACATGCTGTCCCTTCATTTGTATGTATTTATATCTGTTACTGTTAGACTCCCCAGGAAAAAAAAAAACTTATATTAATCTCTATGTTTGCTCTAATGTTTTTCTCTATGCTTGTAATTAGTTTGTTATACTTTTATGCTAATGTATTCCCTTATGAAATAATCTCAGTCAATCTAAAATGATTCATTCTTTCCCAATAGAGCAATTCAAGTCATCTGGTGAAATTGTATTTGTATTTATATGGCAGAATAATTTAATAGCACAATGTCAATGTTTTCTGTAATATCATGCAGTCCCAAATTGTACTGAGTTAGGGAAGAGCTGTCCCAGTGCTTAAAATACTCTTAAAATGTCAACATCAAAACTTTCAGTTTGATTCTGGTCACAACTGGCTTGTTTTAGTTGACCAAAGATATGTGGCTGGTGCACATTGGATCTTGGTCTCTGCACACTTTGGTTTCAGTTGTAATATGACAAAATGCATATTATACAGAAACAACAAACCTTAGAATCAGCTTGTGCTGAATATGTGCTGAGAGTTAGCTTTCATTAGCCTTCTCAGGCAATGGGGCCCCGGATCAGTCTAAGACTCAAGGCCACTGGCCCCATAATCCAGTTCAGTCTGAATATCTTCCTCAATTCCAGTTCTTTCTTTCTTTCTTTCTTTCTTTCTTTCTTTCTTTCTTTCTTTCTTTCTTTCTTTCTTTCTTTCTTTCTTTCTTTCTTTCTTTCTTTCTTTCTTTTTTTTATTGCATTGCATTGCATTCACATAAACGATGAAGCCCATAGTCACCTTTCTTTAAAAAAAATAAGAAAAAAATTCAATTGGCAATATTTTCACTCACTTTACTAGTCCCACCCCTAAAATCCACACACATGTGACACACAGAATAAAGAGAATACAAACACTTCAATATTACAAAACCAGCTTCAATAAACCAGCAAATGTACCTAGGGTTTTTGACAACAAAAGCTTCTCAGGAGATTTTTTAGTGTCAGTATTCAAAAAAAAAAAGTTATTGTGATTTATATTTCTCAAATGTGGAAGAAATGTGTATTATTATTATTATTATTATCTTTTTATTATTATTATTATTATTATTATTATTATTATTATTATTATTATTATTATTTTATTATTATTATTATTATTATTATTATTATTATTATTATTATTATTATTATTATTATTATTATCTGCTACGAAACTATTGTTATTTAAACACAGACAATACAGTATGAATAACGTACAATACAAACAGATTTCTACCCATTCATCTAAAATCAAGATTACCAAGGCATAGGGTAGTAGTTCATCTCAATTCATTTTAATAAAGGTCATTCATTTTTAACAGCTGCACAAGATTTTTGATATGCAACATCCCCTAGTGGTTCATTCGGTTAAGACATGTTCATAGTCCAGATCAGCTTTGGTACTGATGTTTGTAGCCTTAAAAACAATTGAGCAACCATATTAATATTTAAAGTGACTAAAAAGTCATAGTATTCAGTCTTTAAAAACTCAAACAAAGTCGAACAGCACTTTATTAAAACCTCTAGAACTTTAGAACTCTTAATTCTACTTTTCCTCCTCATTTATTCCCACTCAAGTGATTCTAAATTTATGTATTTATTGCTTCTTGCTGATTTTTCCCAACATTCTTTGGTGTATATTCCTTTGTGTCCAACAAAAGAAAGAAACTAGCTATTTAATGTTTAACGTGTTTGATCTTGAAATTAAATTTAATGTTAATCTAATTTATTTTGCTTCTTTTTTTCTCTAATAGCTTTATATTATTTGCTTTGCTTATTACCATGAAAAAGAAGGAAATTTATTTATTTATTTATTTATTTATTTATTTATTTATTTATTTATTTATTTATTTATTTACTAACTATTGATACTTTGCTTTGGTCATTACCAGTACATTTGAAAAAAAAATGCATTTTTGTTCTTACTGGTGAGTCAGTATGTCAGCAAAAGTGTATGTTTGTCTGTGTGTGGGTACATGTTGTTAAAGTATTTGTGGAACATTTAATCTTCCAACACTAGAAAAGAAAAATTGACAAATCATTAACTTAAAACTGACTGGATAGTGACCCACAAGTTCTGTAGCAATGGCTCATTGCTGCGTCAAGGCAAATAATCAGTTTGTTTGATTGTTTATGTGTTTTAGGCCAATGCATAAGTACATTTACAAATACTGACATGCAGTGATTTAAATCCTTTAAAATCAAGGGATACAGTAGTGGGAAACCAATGATTAGTTAGTCTCAAAGTAAATTTTGTGAAAAACAGTTAATAAAATAGTATGTTTCAAAGAAAGCAAAATGAATGTTATTTTATGAGAACATATTCTTGTTTTCACAATTATTAGTTAAACTGTTAAAAAAGGTTTCTAATGCAACTTTACTCTACAATCTCCAAACTTTGTTTTTGATGGAAAAAAAAATCAAACCTGTAAATAAATAAATCATTTTAAATGTCTTAAATGTCCTGATCCACTAGCACTATGTACTAACATGATGGACACGTTGACCAACGTATATATGCATCATTTACGGTTAGTTTGGAGTCACACAGTGAGTAATAGAGGGGTGGTTTTAGCTCTTGTTTGAAGAGTGAACCGTTATCTCCATCTCCAAAGAGGACCTTGATCGGATAAATATCCTGCAACAGTCAACAGAAACTCACAATCTCAAGGGTATACCACACAGACAGGTCCGACATGGGCTCGATCATGCATGTGGTTGCTTCCATTGTGCTGCTGTGCACATTAACATCAGCGGTGAGTGACAGTTATTATATTTTATTATAAAACATTATAATGTCTTTGTTACTCATTTTCTTTTCTCCCTTATTTATTTTAAGCAAAGAGGAGACTACTCACCATCACATGATTTGTGCAACCCTAATGATGGGTTTGTAAGTACAAATTCTTTATGTTTTGGATTTTTTTAACTAATAAACTCTGTAACACTTTAATTAATATCAAAAGGATATTCAAATGGACCATCAAAATAATGTCCTTACTTATTAATGCCATTAAAGTATTAGTAGACTGTCTGCCTAAAGGGATAGTTCACCCAAAAATAACAAATTATGTCACATTTTGCTCTCCCTCTACTTGGTCCAAATATGTTTGACTTTTTTTCTTCTGTTTCTACTGTTTTTTCAATTTCTGTTATGACTTTCTATTGTGATGATCTCCCTATAGACATTCTACTGACTATAAGTAACGATATAATTAGTTTGCAAGCACAGGTCAACCAATTAAAATAAGTATTTACCAGTCTCCCATTACTGTACTAATCATATGAGAATTAGAAATGTAGATGCATTGATATAACGTTATAATCAACAAAATGAGTTGAAGGGACGCTGATTTTTGTACGATTTTATTTTGATAGTAAGATTGACACTTGGTTCCTCTCTTTTTCAGGGAACATACTGTCCAACAACATGTGGAGTCGCTGATTACTTGCAGAGGTACAAGCCTGATATGGACAAAAAGCTGGATGATATGGAACAGGATTTGGAAGAGATCGCCAACCTCACCAGAGGAGCTCAAGACAAAGTGGTCTACCTGAAAGATTCAGAAGCACAAGCACAAAAACAATCACCAGGTAGCACAATTTATCATTAATTATGATATTATTTAAGCCCTGAATGTCATAAAAATTGCCATATGGTGTAAGCATCAGGCAGAGGTAATTGCATTTGTCTAAAGCCTTAAACAAATATTTATACAAATGAATATGTATGTGTATATTTGCACACATATGCGCAAACACATTCCTTGATTCATTTTCCTTTGGCTCAGTCCCTGATTTATCAGAAGTCACCACATATATACAGTATACACTTACCGGCCACTTTATTAGGTACACATTACTAGTCCCACGTTGGACCCCCTTTTGCCTTATTCCTTCATGGCATAGGTTCAACAAGGTTCTGAAAATAAGGTACTGGAAACAAGGTACTGCAAATATGGAAATATACTGGAAATATTGCTCAGAGATTTTGTTCCATATTGACATGATAACATCATGCAGATTTGTCAGTTGCACATTCATGATGCGAATCTCCTGTTCCACCACATCCCAAAGGTGCTCTATTGGAATGAGATCTAGTGACTGTAGAGTCCATTTGAACTCCTTGTCATGTTCAAGAAACCAGACTGAGATGATTTGCGCTTTATGACAACGCGTTATACTGCTGGAAGTAACCATCAGAAGATGGGTACACTGTGGTCACACCATTACACCACCATCAGCAGCCTGAATCGTTGATATAAGGCAGGATGGATCCATGTTTTCATGTGGTTGATGCCAAATCCTGAGTTTACCATCTAAATGTTGCAGCAGAAATCGAAACTCATCAGATCAGGCAACATATTTCCAATATTCTATTGTCCAATTTAGTGAACCTGTGTGAATTGTAGCCTCAGTTTCCTGTTCTTAGCTGACAGGAGTGGCACCCGTTGTTGTCTGCTGCTGTAGCCCATCCACCTCAAGGTTGAAGGTGCTGCCTCTATGTGTTTGTGTATCTTTGTGCTTATTTATTATCAGCAGGTATCTTTATTAATTTATTTTTATTTTTCACTTTATTTATTTTCATTCTTTTCATAAATTTTTTTTGGCTTAGTCCCTTTATTAATCTGGTGCCGCCACAGCGGAATGAACCGCATCCTTACCCAGCATATGCAACCCATCTCTGGGAAACATCCATACACACTTATTCACACTCATACACTACGGACAATTTAGCTTACTCAATTCACCTGTACCACATGACTTTGCACTGTGGGGGAAACCAGAGCAACTGGAGGAAACCAACGCGAATGCAGAGAAAACATGCAAACTCCACACAGAAACACCAACTGACTTAGCCGAGTCTTGAACCAGCGACCTTCTTGCTGTGAGGCGACAGCACTTACTGTGACACCGCTTCACCTTTATTTATTTTTATTATTTAATTTTTATTTACTCATAAATAAAATGGGGTTAGTTGGACAACATGCCATTTTTCTGAAAATTACTTGGAATTTTGTTTCTCACTCACTATCCTTCGGCTTAGTCCCTGTTTTATCAGGGCTTGCCACAGTAGAATGAACTGCCAATTACTCTGGCATATATTTTATGTGGCGGACGCCTTTCCAGCCGCAACCCAGCAGCAAGAGTACACTAACCCATGAATCCCTAGTGCTGGGAAACACCCATACATTAATTTATACACACTATAGCCAATTTAGTTTGTCCAATTGAGCTATACCACAAATGTTTGGACTGTTGGGGAAACTGGAGCACCCAGAGGAAACCCATGCAAACATGCAAACTCCACACAGAAATCCTAGCTGGTCTAACAGGGACTCACTAGTGCTTACCACTGAGCCACCGTGCCACCCCACAAAATCATTTTATCGTTTACCAAATTTGTTATTTTTCAGTACCTGTAAACCTTAATTTTCTTTACTATCTTTTTGTCAGATACTTACATTAAAAAGTCTTCAAATATGCTGGATGATATACTACGATTTGAGAAGAGCATTCTCGCTCAGGAAGAACAAATATAGTAAGCAAATTTCCTTCTCATCTATATTATAGTGTATAAAAAAGTGAATTAAAAATCATGATGTAAAAATATATTATTCCATTAAAATATACATTTCCATATTTCTCCACAGTCAACTGCAGTCAGTCCTTCAAGCTAACGAGAAAAAAATAACGGATTTAAAGCAGATGTCTATGCAGCTGGACCAAATGTGCAAAGAGCCCTGCAAAGACACTGTGGAGATTCAGACAGTCACTGGCAAAGGTAAAGATTTAAACTTGAGCAAAATTCATGTTTATGACAATTGACATGCATACAGTATATACAGTATATATTAGTTTACTTTGCTTAAAGGACCCATAAAGTGCTTTGAAATGTGCAATTTTTTGATGTTTGACGTAATCTCAAATATGAATAGAGGGTGGGGTATAGTTGCTCCTCCCCTTCAAAAACAAGAGCATTTTGTTATCTCACACCACTTCCAGTGAGAGTGGTTGAGCTCAAGGGCAACAAATGAAAAGCAAATGAAAGACCTCTTGAAGGGGGTGGGGCATGTCAGATACTAGAAAGCATTTGATTGGTCAAGATTTGATGAGAAACTGAAGGATGAGGTTACGTCAAAAAAGGGTTATTCCATTTATAGGTATAAGTGACAAACTGCAAGCTTTTGATGTTTATATCAGGTTAATATCTTCTAAATACAAATTTTGTCACTGTTTTGGAGTAAACTAGATTATAGATTATTTTAGTTTCATGGAACTTTTATAAGAGCGAAACAGTTTGCCTTAAATTTTTTAATGAAATACGGTTGAAGTCAGAAATATTAGCCCCCCTTTTGAATTTTTGTTTCTTTTTTTAAATATTTCTCAAATGATGTTTAACAGAGCAAGGACATTTTCACAGTATGTCTGATAACATTTTTTCTTTAGGAGAATGTCTTATAATAAATATATTAAAGTTCTGGTATAAAGTCTTATAACTTGCCTAATTACCCTATCCTGCCTAGTTAACTTAATTAACCTAGTTAAGCCTTTAAATGTCACTTTAAGCTGTATAGAAGTGCCTTGAAAAATATGTAGTAAAATATTATTTACTGTCGTCATGGGAAAGATAAAATAAATGAGTTATTAGAAATGAGTTATTAAAACTATTATGTGTAGAAATGAGTTTAAAAAAATATTCTCTCCATTAAACAGAAATTGGGGAAAAATAAACAGGGGGCTAATAACTCAGGGGGGGGCTAATAATTCTGACTTCAACTGTATGTGCATAACTACGTATAAAAAAAAAAAGAAAGTTAAATCAACTTAACAGTTCCAAGTTAAAACGGGTTTACTCAATTTTTAAAGTAAAGTCAATAATCACTCTTAACAGTGTATATAATAAGAAAACTTATGTATGTCATGTGCCCAGATTGTCAGGACATTGCAAACAAAGGTGGTAAGGTCAGCGGGCTGTATTATGTGAAACCAGCCAGAGCCCCTGAAGCATTCCTGGTCTACTGTGAAATCGACAGCTTTGGACGTGGATGGACTGTACTTCAGAGGGTATAAGACACAACAGAAAATGCACAGTGACACAAACTCCTTTCGAAAAATGACCTGCACAAAACAAACTTTTAACAGACAACTTTATTGATTCTTTATTGATGTATGTTTTTCTCAGAGGCGGGATGGCAGCGTTGACTTCAGCAAAAACTGGATCCAGTATAAGGAAGGCTTTGGTTACCTCTCACCCGATGACAGGACTGAGTTCTGGTTGGGAAATGAGAAGATACATCTGCTGTCAGTTCAGTCCAGCGTGCCTTATGTGCTGAGGATAGAGATGGTCGATTGGGAAGGCAACAAAAAGTGAGAACTTTCTTTTTCATATTTGACACATAGCTTTAGGTCTTCAATCTTCCAAGTGGTGCTCCTCAATTGCATTTCATTACATTTATGCACAGGTTAGACATTTCCCAGCAAGAAATGTTGTTATATAAATCTATAAATCTGTTGCATAAATCTATAAGACATCTATCATTTATCAAAAAATAGACAAGTGATTAAATAAAGAAATTACACAGATTTCACATGTGTACACTTTAAAAAAAAAAGCCATTTATGTATCATTTTGAATAACATTATGAGTGCTCGATCTTTTATCCAATAACTTTTGATGATGAAAAGTTTGAAAAGGTGACTTGTATTGACATTTTGTCTGAATTGGTGTTGTAAATTATGGTTGAAAATCTGGTAATAAACTGCCAGCACTTTAATAATTTTCTTTTAACATCAAAAGTCAACAGAGATCAAGGTCTTCATTCATTTATTTTATTTTCGCTACATTTATTTTTTCGGTAAATTTATTTACGGTACATATACATATTTATTTTCGGTTTCGGTTTTTATTTTCTTCGCTACAGCTGAATGAACCACCGTCAATGTCTTATAATGCAATTCATAACCATAAAGCGTATGATATGACTGGTCACGGCTGGCTTCCCACCTGTAATCACTTATAATCCAATCAGATTGATCCATGGTTACAACAAGACCGAATTTCACTCTACTGCCTTATCTTCATTTTTGAAGAATCCCCTCTTCCACCCCATCTCCTCCTTTTCCTCCCTTTTCCAGGGGGAGCTCTCGAGACCTACCTGATCTTAGATCTTAAATGCTTATTGACTGACGGGAGCCTAGGGCTCAATTATCTCAGAGCTCAGGGTTTTCCCCCAGGACAGCATGCCAAATCTGCTATTAATGTCAAGTATATCTAAGTGTGAACTCCTGAATTAACTAATGTTTTTAAAGTGTTGTCATTCATCCCTTTGGTGCCATTCAGTCATTATTTGTTGACTGCTGCAAGGTGTCAACTAGATTTTAACTGACAGCTCAAATTTAGCCTTGTTTTAGCCAAGATGTCTATGTTTAGACATCTATAAGATGTATTTTAAACACTTCTAAATTTAGGGCAAACATTTCTATGTAACTATTTTTGTTTATGTTTTGTATAAATATTTTTGTAATAAAAAAAATGAAGAGAAAAAAAGCATGATAAACCAACCATAAACATTACTGTCACTTGGGTTATGAGCAAATCATATGAAAATGTACACAAATTCATAAGAATTGGATAACAGTTCAGTACAGCAGTTTAAGCAGTTTAATTATAAAAGATTGTGTTAATAAATTCATACATTGCATGGGAATCAAACACATAACCTCTAGCAGTGTGCTCTAGGATTTACAAGAACAGTTAGACCTAAGCAAGAACTGCCAATGAATTCCACAAAAAAAATCCAAAAGTGTTCAATATCTGCAGTTGTCAAACAAGACTTTGCTCTGCCATAATTGATTTTTGCCAAGTAACATTTCATGACCTCCTCAGCCAGATCAAACATGCTGCTGAGCATTAGAGCACTCAATATTCAATGGATTGTGTTATAAATGTGTCTTACTTTCTCAGATATGCAGACTATGCCACTTTCAAACTTGGACCAGAAGTTGATGCTTACCGCTTGACATACGCTTATTACTTTGGCGGAGATGCTGGCGATGCCTTTGATGGTTACGACTTTGGTGACGATCCCAGTGATAAATTCTACACGTCTCACAATGGCATGCAGTTCAGTACAGTTGACAGAGACAACGACAAGTTCCAGGGACACTGTGCTCAGCAGGATGGGTCTGGTTGGTGGATGAACCGCTGCCATGCTGCTCACCTCAATGGAAAATACTATCAGGGTAAATCATTGTAGACATCACAGGAGATGGTCTCGCATTAAAAAAATCTACCTCAAGCCAATGTGCCACTCTAGAGCACAAAACCAGTCTTATGTTGCACAGGTATAATATCTAAAAATACATTGTATTGGTCAAATTGATAGATATTTACTTTATACCAATCATGTTGCTTCAATATTTGGTGTAGATTTCCAACTGTAAACATATCAAAAATCATTTTGTAATTTGTAATAGGGCCAGACGGAATATTTTTTGTTATTTCTGCAGAGAATTTTGTAAGAAAAAATTTTGTGGATTGATTTTAGGACTATCGTAACTAAAAACTTAATATTTGAAATAAAAAATAATTCATTTTTAACTTTTATTTAATGTTTATAATACAAATCCAATTGGATCCACTTATTTGGTAAACAAAGCAAGGCTCATATAATAATATATCTACTTAAAGACAGAAAATATTACTTTAAAAGCTGTATTGTAAATTAATCATATGAACATTTTAATATTATTAAACCGCAATAATATTAGTGAAATGAATTTAAAATAAAATATATAAAAATAAATATAAATTTACACACATTTACACAAGTAAATACATAGACTCAGTGATGGGTTATAAATCTGCGGAATTCTGCATGCCCAGATTCTGTGTGGCCCTAGTAATGTGCATTGTTAAGAACTTAATGTTAAAACCCAGGCTCATTGGAAATAAGTGTTTGTAGTTTTTGTTTTTACAAATCTGCCATGTATCTTAAATTGGTTACTGGGCCGCGTTATCTCATCCATGGCATTTCTCATAAATCCACCTGAGGATATTGTTTACATTTTTTGCGAATCTCAAATACATCACTGAGCCACTTTACTCATTTTACATGCCATTTACGTGTCATTGTTACACTCGTCTACAAGAAGCCAGTAGGCTGGTTGTCATGCATAATATATTAGCTTGCGAATTTATTTAATTTTTTTGGCTTTGTTTTAGCTGGTTTCTGGAATCGTCCTTTGCCGATTAATTTTGACACCATACAAGGAGAGCTACCAAGCAAACTGATCACAACCGAAAAAAGCTAGGTAGCCTATCAGAGGTAACATGAAGAGGAACAGAAGTTGTTGGTGGCGTCATACCAAACAAAATGCAGCCAGATGTATGCCACGGCACACATTTGCAGTTTCCCAAATATGTAGGCACATATAGCCAATAAAACTGTGCTTGAACTTAATTTGAACAACTTTAAAGGCACATTTTTCAGTATTTAAATTTTTTTCTCAGATAGTAGATTTCCAAAAATTGCCAGGTAGCAAAGAATTCTGGCCCAGATTTGGCATAAATCTGGCACAGCAGGCATTCATCCGGCACTGCCATACAGCATGTGGGCCAAACATAGCTCCGCTTTAGCAGAGGTGCTACCATCTTTAAGGTGGCACACAATACTTAGGCCAGATGTAAAATGTATTATTTGGCCCAGATGTTAATAATTGATATGTGGGCCATGTATGTTTGGCCTATCGTGACCCACATTTAAAATACATTTCTATTATTTTCAAATAAAGGGGAAAAAAAGTCTACCAATCAGGTTGCTTTAAGAAAATGCAATGATTTTGTGTTTATTAATTTCATTGCAGTCAGGACACACCAACATATATGGCCCAGGTCAGGCTCAGACCAGATATGGTCCATATTTGGCCAGACTTGGTCCAGTCATGTACCATAATTCACTGCGGCATGTGGGCCAAGCAAAAGCTAATTTTGTGGGCCAGAGATATTTTTCAATGTGGATTGGAATATCTAGTTAATATTGTCCTATCTTCACAATGTACGCATCTATAGAACACCTATTTAATCAGCTTTGATGTGATGTCACTTTCTTTCGGCTTATTCCCTGCTTCATCAGGGGTCGCCACAGCAGAATGAACCTCCAATTACTCTAGCAATTGTTTTACACAGCAACGCCTTTGTTACCACAACATAGAACTGAGAGTACAACCTCTGAAGCACCTACTCACTCTCCCATTCACACACTTTGGCCAGTTTAGTTTATCCAACTCACCTATATCACGTGTTTAAACTGTTGGGGAAAACTGAGCATCCAACGCAAACACGGAGAAGACGTAAACTCCATGCAGAAATTGACATATAGGAATGGTTTTGTGCTCCAGGGTCACATATTATAAAGGCAGGAATCTCTTGACGTATGGTTTCTGTCCTCACAGGTGGCAAATACACAGAGAAGGACGCAGAGTCCGGATATGACAACGGCATCATCTGGGCCACATGGCACAGTCGCTGGTATTCTCTGAAGGAAACCACCATGAAGATCATTCCCATCAACAGAATTGGTGCCACTGGAGGCCAAGAAAGTGGTTCCAAGCAGTTCGGAGGTATTGGAGACATTTAAACAACTTGCCTGAAGATTGGCCTGTTCTGAGCTATCATTCTGTTTTTGTGACACTAATGTTGAAATGCATGGGATGTGGGCAAGGTAAACGTCTGTCTGATATTTCTCATTTTACACAAATTAAGTCAGTAAAAGATTCATACGCAAGTCCCGATGGTCATGTTTTTAAATTTGATCAACTCAATTCAAATTCAACTGTTCTAGCATTGCATCTGTCAATAAATAAAGTTCTCTGTCTTTTGTTAATGAAAGGTATTCTGTAGTCTTTGCTAAACCATGACACTGATGTAGGTGTATAACAAACTATTACAAATGAATGATAGATCAATAATTGAAGAACATTATTTAAGTCATTGTTCCACAGTTCATGTTAATTGTGCATAATTACAAACAATTGACACTAACATCAACAGTAACTCTAATTATGAACATAGTCATGTGGTAGCCTACTTTTTTAGGGTAGCACACTATAAAAAACACATGAAAAAAAATAATATAATTAGTTTTACTTATACTTTATTTAGGTAATATTATTTTAAGGTGTCCTTGTTACATGTTTTTTGTATTTACTAGAATAATTACTTGCATGCATTTTAGTTAGTAGGCTTAAATAATGTTTCTCTGTAGATAAATGAATTGTTACACTACAGGGACACTTTAATAAGTGAGACCAACGCATTATCATCCATCCTATAAAGAACACAAGCGTGGGAGTGTATCAGTGTTTGTTGTTTTGTGTCTGTGTTAAACACTGTGTAGGAGTAGTGGAGCAAATGGTCAGTAATATGGATATTGCCCCCAGAACAGTGCTGTGGGGTGATCAGGCAGCACTCCAAATTCTTTATGTAAGAGGATTTCATCATCTGTGCTGCATCAATCAATAAAGAGTCAGTTATTTCAACACAGGAAACACAGTGCCCTTGTATTTTACCCACAATACATTTCTTCATTCATGTAGACGGATGAGAAGTGATAGTTTTTGTTCTTGCTTTCATATCAACATGAAGACAATCAATCTTATAATGAAACGGTGAACAACGTTTTCTCTTTGATTTTATGACAATCATGTCAAAAGTAGGACATAAGTATTGATTTAGTTTTTTTTCCAATGTATATTTGTAAACATTATTTAAATGTAATTATATCTTAATCCTGGTTAAGTCCAAACACTATAAAATGAGGCACTTGTGTCATGTGACATTGAAAAAGATAGCTTATGGCTATAAAGGAATACTAAGGAACTAAGGAAACCCTCACATAAAGTCATAAATATTTGCTTAGAAAACAATTATATTAGGGTTAGTCCTTAAGGTTAAGGGGTTTGTTTCATTGCTAGGGGATATGTGCCTGCACATTAAGCCTGTTTTTATAAATCAAACTTAGAAAGGTGACCTATCATTACCAACCATCAGTATTTTGTAATACTGTTTGCATGATTATTTTCAGCATTTGGAGACAAAGTTCATTATCGCTATCAGCAGCACTGCTGACGCGTAAAAGTAGACACTTTTTAACTTAAAGGTAAGCATAATAGGAAAGTCACTTGACCAATTTTATGATTTGCCAAAGGGCTGGGTGATTTAGCCTAACATCAAAAATCTAAATAAATTTTAACTATTTCAAATTAACATTTTAACTAGATTATTATTAATTATTGTTTGCCCTCAGTTCACAGACAAGCTTTGTACAGTAAATATGCTCACATAATACAAGTGAGAGATTTCGGAATGAAGAGTGCATTATTGATTTTAAAATGATTGATGGAAACACACTATCTACTATTTATGATTATTTATTAAACATCAACGCTGAACAACTAAAATGAAAACATGTATTTTAACTAAAGCTGCATCGGACCATACCCAAGCGTTCAACGCGCAAGTATAAATCTTAACAAAGCAGGGTTACATGACTCCATTCGGGAAGTTGGGAAAAGTAAGGAAAGTATTTGAAAAAATTGACCCTGAAATAATTGATCGAATATAGGTTCTGAATGTCAGCTTTGATTGCTTTTCGCTTAATTGCCCAGCCCTAGTTTGCCATCAGATAAAATTTAACATTTTTTTAAAAACCATTATTTGACAAGTCACCAACATTCAGAACGATGGGCCAGTATATCCTGCTCCAGATGTTGATTCTTCATCTGCTGCCAAGCAGTGCTGACCCACAAAGACATGGACCCTACAAGACCCCTGAAGGTGACCAGTGGTATCATGTCCTTCATGCTAGGTAAGAGGTTATGTGGAGCTTTCCGTGGATCGACATTTTGATCTCACAGATATTCAGTTTGACATGTCCTTGTGAATTAATGAGACTTGAACACCCAAGACCAGCGCTGATCTGTTCCACTATTGACCATTGTTGGTAAATTCTAACCACCGAGCACAAAACTTGCAGCTTAGTGTTCAGAGTCATGCAGTACTAGTATTCACAAAACATTTTTTTTACAAAAAAAAAAGGCTGGGAGTTTAAAATCTGTTCACAAAGTTGCTAAAGTCCTAAAGGCGTAATTCAGACAAAAATGAAAATTCTGTCATTAATTATTCTACCTCATGTGGTTTTAATAAACCTTTAATTTTTTCCTGCAGAGCACAAAATAAGGTGTTTTGAACAATGCTAGTGCTAGCACACTGACTTCAAAAGTAGAAAATAAATACTATGGAAGTCAAAGGGTTTTAGAAACCACATTTTATATATATATATATATGTATATATATATATATATATATATATATATATATATTCTTTTGGTTTCAACAGAAGATTTTGAACATGAAATCATTTTTGGGGTGATATCTCCCTTTAAGGCAGTGGTTCTCAATTCCAATTCTCAGGTCACCCTGCACTACACATTTTGTACGTCTCTCTTCTTTGACACACAGTGATCAGTTGATGGATCTCTCTGTTTATGAGCTGATGATCTGAATCAGGTGTCTTCGGTAGAAAACGAAAGACATGCAGGGAGGAAAGGGGGGCGACAAAGACCAGAATTGTTTTAAAATAAACATATTGGCCTATTCCAATGAAAGGGATTTTAAATTGCAGGCAAAGTGAAGAACTGCATTAGAAAAAAATTATTTTACTTTTAATTATTTGGACATATACAATTTTCTTCCAATGGTAGAACATATATTTTAGAAAATATGTTAAGCAAATGCATTTTTAAATGGGTATGATTTAGATCTTTTTTTTTTTGACAATCAAAATTGATCAACTTTGTATTTATTGAACACAAACTTGCATCCATTTATTTTTTTTATCGTAAAATATTTTAAAATGTTTTAAACATCTCTGGTATGGGAATTCCCTTGTAATTGCAGCATTAACTTTAAAATCTCATTATGGTCAAATGTTTTAAAAATGTCCACTTACATTTTTACAGGGCAGATACAATTATGAACTACACCACAGAAAATGAGCCTTTTTCTTGAACTCCATTCTTGAATTTATGGCTTTCATTTAATGATGAAGATAAATAAAACATGATTAAACCTTTTTTATTTTACAAAATGTCACATCAGGAAAAGGTTTCAGACAAAACATAGTATAAACAGTTCTTCTCTGAATTTGAAGCAAACTTTAAAGAAATGTTATGATCTGACGAATTTATGATCTGATGTTCAATTAATTTCAACTTAGAAAACATGTAACACCATTTTTGCAAATAGTTATTAAGTATCCATGTACATGTACACTCTTGTTTGTCTTTCTGATCAGAGCAGCAAGAGTGCACATATCCAAAAAGGAACATTCACCATCATTGCATTTTTCTGCAGGATTTTTTACATTTCAGAATGACAAATTAACAGCTGGGTCTCAAAGACCAGTAAATTCTGTTAGGAGTAGACAAAAAAGGTTTTTGTTTAATATGCAGTGCAAAATGTGATATTCTGTCATCTTGTTCTGTTTACAATTATGCCTTAAAGCAGACATAGCCATAGAAACTAGCTTGCTAAAACAACAAAATGGAAAGGTAAAAAAAAAACTCAAAACTAAAATCGCTTTCTTTTCAGAATCTCAGGCTTCCAATTAACTGGATGGGATTCTTCAGTCTGAAAGAAAAAGAAAAATCAATAAAAAAAAATTCTACAAATAAGAATATTTAAAATATACATTTGAAGTCAGAACTATTAGCCTCCCAAAATTATAAGCCCCCCTGTTCATTTTTTCACCCAATCTCTGTTTAAAGGAGACATTTTTTCCAACACATTTCTAAAAATAAGTTTTAAAAACTCATTTCTAATAACTGATCTATTTTATCTTTGCCATGATGACCGTAAATCATATTTTACTAGATATTTTTAAGACACTTCTATACAGCTTAAAGAGACATTTAAAGGCTTAACTAGGTTAATTAGGTTAACTATGCAGGTTAGGGTAATTAGACAACTTATTGTATAACGATGGCTTGTTCTGTAGACTATCGAAACAAAATAAAAGGGGCTAATCATTTTGACCTTAAAATGGTTTTTAAAAAATTAAAAACTGCTTTTAATCTAGTTGAAATAAAACAAATAAGACTTTCTCCAGAAGAAAAAATATTATCAGACATACTGTGAAAATTTTCTTGCTCTGTTAAACAGCATTTGAAAATTTTTTAAAAGAAGAAAATGGGGGGCTAATAATTCTGACTTCAACTGTATATAAAATTATGCAGCAATTCTCTTCAATCAAGAATTTGAGTTCAGAGAACCTTATAAATATTACATTGCATATTATTAAACTGTACTGTAATTCTTGTTAATATTATTGTTAACTAATGAATTACCAGTGAAGTCAGAACTTACCGCTGTGTCATCCTCTTTGTAGACCTTTATAGTTTTATCAGCCTCTGCTGTAATGAGGCGACTCTCAGACTGATCAAACACGCATGAAAAAATGCCAGACTCGCTGTCCAGAGAACCAGGCTGCACCGCTGCATGAATCCTCTGGAAGTTATAGCCAGTTCTCCAATCCCACATGTGAATAGTGCCGTTATCAGCTGATGGGAAAAATGATATAAAGACAGTAAACAAAACATGCAAATTTTTACAGCTCAAACAAAGCAAAAAAGACAACAAAAAATATAAAAAATAAAATTCTATTTTTAGCAGAATAGGGATTGTAAGAAAGTGTGAAGGAATAGTTCACCTCCTGACACCAGAACACCATCAGAATTGACAGCCAGTGTGTTTATAATTGCGTTGTGTCCTGAAAGGTTTTGGATGAAGTTCCCATCAGGAAATTTCCACTGCTTAATGTTGTCT